CGTAGTGCGTAAGCGCTGTATCGCCCTCTAACGGATAATCATTGGTACGGAACCCATAGAAATGTAAACAAAATTTGTACTTATTATTAAAATCTTTATAAAATATTTAATAATTTGATATGTCTAATGATCGTTTTTGACAGCCAAATGGCATTTTTTTCACTCGGTTTTCGAAACCGCTAGACCTGCCTTCCTAAAAATTTAATTAGTTTTTCATTTCGTCATTGCAAGCAAAAGTTTATTTTGAATTATTGAAATCGAATGCTCCGTTCTTTCAAAAAAACTAAACTACCATTTTTGTCACTTTTTGTCTCTTATTTTCGATACGGTTGGACCCACCTTGACCAAAAACTAATCAGCACGTCTTCTCACCAATAGGAATCGTATGTTTTTTGAATCTTTCCACAAATACAAATCTGTTGATCCGTGTTCTCTAAATCGTCGTTGAATAATTGTATCCGCATACACACACACATACATACAACCATTTTTTCTAAGGTATGCCAAAATGTTCAGAAATTTGAAACGTAAAAATATATAAAAAAAATATTCTAGATTTTTTTGCGATTACTATAACTTACTCTATGCGAAATTAATAAATATGCGAAGTTTCCACAAATGTTATAACAAAATTATCATATTAACTTCCTAAAATATATTTTTCTTACCTACTTGAATTTATCCATTCTGAGATTGTATGAGTTTAGAAATAAGATTTCTTACTCTGGATTTAATTTCAATTTAGAAAATTTTGACTACCTTTCATATTATTATAATGCTCTATAAATCTGTATTTAAGAGACTTATGGGCCTATTCTGCCTCACAACAGACAATGTTATGGCAAGGCTATGTTACGGCTCAACTTTCATACATTATGCTACTGAATCATACTGAATACTGTCAAAATGTCATGTATTTGCTGTTCATTCAGGCGTTTTACACATAAACTGCAACGTCACTCGTATGTATGAAGCTGGGTCAGAGAGACCTTGTTGTCTAAGATCGTTTTTTTTTTTGACATATATGCGGTTTCTAGGTTAGGTTTTCTGACAACCTGAGAAAAACGGCTGACTGCACAGCAACCACATGGCTTTTGTCAATATTTAGAACGAATTGATAAAAATAATTTGCTAGTGTTGATAAATTTCTATAAATAATCGTACGAGCAAAACACTTAAATATACAGCACCAGAATTTTGTTGCATTGCTTTTGTAAAATATTATTAAAGAGTTCCCCTGAATTTAATATTTATATATAAATTTATAGTCTTATTTGACATCGATAACGAATGCATATTTGCAAAACATACACATATGTGGTTTACTCAGATTTGAGTTAATGACATCACAATGAAATGTTTATTAATAGACTGTTGTCTACATAAATATACAGGAAGCAAAGTTATTTTAATTTCCTAAATTTCTGTTTCTGAATTGCATTCACATACCGTCAACAAAAATCACCGCATTTTGATTTTGTAACGATGATAACAGTATCATATTTAATATTACTCATTCTAATTATAATTTAAACTATTGGTGCATGGCATCGTTATCGCCTTAAGGCAAATATCTGGCACTTTCCGTACCTAAAAATTTGAAAAAAAAAGATTTTTTGAAAAGTTTGAAATTTTTGAAAAAATGTAGCATGTGAAAATGTTTTTTCTATATATTGATTCTTTTTGTATTTTGATTTGTTTTGAAAAATTTTAATTTTTTTTAAGCAATTTAAGCTGCAAGTGTTCAATTTTAGAATTAATATTCTTAACTTTAATTTAAATGTGGTAAGTTATTGTAATCATTTGCAAAATTGTAAATTTCTGCATATCTTCACGTTTTGAAGGTTTCTGAACATTTAGGTATACTTTTAAAAAAATGGATGTGTGTATATGTATGTATGGATACAATGTTTTGTCCACGTTTTCGGGCGCACGAATCAACCGATTTGAATGATTGAATGATACCGATCAACCGATTTGAATATCAATGAACTATTGATAGGGAGATGTTCTGATTAGTTTTCGGTAAAGACAGGTCCAGCCGTTGCGGAGATACATAGCAAAGTGTGCAGAAAATAGAAATCGAGTTTTTGAAAGAACCGAGCACCCGATTTGTATGATTCAAAAAACATTCAATTCGTAATAATGGGAAGAAGTGATGATTAGTTTTTGGCCAAGGCAGGTCTAGCTATTTTATGTATATTGTAGTTTAATATAGTACAAACTATCAATAATCAAAATTCATCGTGTTTTTAATTTTCTGAATATTGAAAAAATAGCATTGCTCTAACTGTCTCAAATAATCTTTTCTGTAACTTGATTTTTACAATATATTATAATTTTACTTACATACTAAGAGATGGCAAATTTAGTAAAACCTTGAAAAGAGTTATTGTGAATGAATGTACGTTTTATAATATATTACCAATTACCTCATAGTTGACAAAATGTTTCAGCTTATTTTTTATTTGTTTCTATAATTATAAAACATGTTTTATAATTAGAGAACAACACGTTTTCTCTACTTCTTTTGAGTTATGGAAAATCATTGATATTTATATTTATGTATATGAATATTAATATTACTTCTTTATACTTCAAACAATGTTTATAAAATATATAATCTTTTTCTCTGAATTTTACAAGTGTTATTTAATACTGCAAAGGGCACTTAAGTATTTAACTGTTTGGAAGATAACCTTTTAAGGGCCTATGTATCGGTAGCTATGTATCGGTATAATTTATATTTTCTTTTCAATAGTGTGAAGGATTTCAAGTGCCCTTTTGAGTTTTTTTTCCTAATGCAAGTCTAAATCCGCAGTTTTCATTGAAAACTTTTCAACCTGTGGGGCGCGTACATCTGTTTCCAGAATACTATTTTACAAACAAAAAACAATTTGTTTTTATGCATATTTTAACATAATATTGCAGCTTAACTTGTAGTCTGAAAATATCTGTTGAGTATTTAAAAATTAAATTATTGAAAAATGTAAGGGAGGCGCCACAAGTTTTAATTAAAAAGGTTGGAGACCACTGGTCTAAATGCTAAAAATGGAATTGTATCAATTTAACAGAAAAGATTTGAGTGCGTTGTTGAAAACGTTGAGTTTTTTATTAGTTCGTCACAAAGTGGGTGTAAAAAAAAATACTATTTTTATTTCCTCTTAGGTGCACTATATAATTATATAAATTAAATAAAATGAAAGAGATCTTATAAAATGTATGACTAATGTACGTGTATACAAAGTCTACAAATAAACAATAAAAAAAATCCTCATATGTGTTGAAGAGAATTTTTGATGAATATAGAAAACATTTCCTATGTAAAGGCAAACACTGATTAAAACTTTTAGATTTTATTTTAATTTTATCAATTACAATCTTATATGCTATATCCCAGAACTTAACGTCAAGCCGAAACATTAAACATTGACCTTAAATGTCCTGAAAAAATCGAAAAACAAATCATTTCACTTTATTTGGAAATTATGAGCTTTTATTTGCAACCTAGAGCTTTGGTGAAATTATGACCATTTTTCAGTTAGTGTGGTTAATTTTTTTTTTGTTTATTCAAATTTAGGAAACGTAACCGTGAATTACATTTTTTGGACTACAGTAATAAATAATAACACAATTGCACCAGGTTTTTAAGAATTAAGATTTTTTGTTAAACTATGCATTTAAGATTTTTAAGATTGGTAGACTTTGAGAGGCCCTCCTTTAAAAAAATGTACTAAAGTGTGTTAGCAAATTTCATCAAAAGTTGGCGCATTTAATCAGGATTGAAAAATGGTAAAATACCCTTATAATTTTATTATTGATAATATTTTAGTAAAAAAATAAAAACCTAAAAATAACACCATAACAGGCATAAATCATGTCATTGTTAGGTTTTTATTTTCTTACTCGAAATTTTTCAATAATAAAATTATCAAGTGTTTTACCATTTT